GTGTTAAAAATCTCTATTGGTGACCTTAAAAAGCGTATGCTATTCGCCGTAGAACTTTCCCAATGCCGCACAGAACGCTTTGACTTCGCCTTCGTCACAGGTTAATATTGGCGCGTAGACGAGGAACATTGGTAAAGGCGGTGCTGATTCACATCTCTTCAACGGTAAACGTCCGATCCGGGTTGTTAGTTGTTCGAATAAATTAATATTCATGACCAACATTGTGCTGACGACGATGCCAACGTTTACGATTCCTCAATTATCTGTAAGATCAATTTCTTCTGTGGTCAGTCCTTTTTTTATTAGAATTCTCCACATTTTCCCTATGTTCTCAACGTAGGTAACTATTAATGTAGCAAAGAGGTGCCACTTACACAGCCAAGCAGAGATGCATGAGCTCGGAGCACACTTGACTTTCGACCGATAATTTAGAAAACACGCTCATAGATAAGTACAACAGCAAGCAAATCAACGCAGCTGACACCGCAATGACGATTGAAAGAAACAATAGCGTCTGAAAAAGCGTGAGACCAAATCACAATATCTCGGAAAACTTTTCATACCAGCATTTTTAAAGGCATTTCTACCAAACCAATGTTTCAGTTCTTTTTTTAGAAATCTGGGTTAGTAGGGAGTTTGAAACCTTGATTAAGCCATATTTGAACACAAAATGAGCCGCAAATATTACTAGATAATGTTATACTTTTTTATTCTCTGCCTACTATAATTTCGCGGCAGGGTACCAAGCGAAATAGTTGTATTACTAGATAGATAAAAAAATCACTTAAATCTAGTGCGATATCGAACGATAACGGGGAGCACTGTGATTAGCGATTCTGTGCAGTACACGCATGGTCGGTGGTTGGATTTTGTTCTGTAGCAGTCAAGCTTCTCGTCCATTCAAGATAAAGAAATTTGCAGCTGATTTTTTTTGTCTGGAAGAAGATCCACTTGATCTATAAAGATTGGCGAATGCCTATAATGAAGACCTGGAAAGTCTCTAGTTGGGCTTAGAACTCTCTAGTAAAGTTCTATAGTAGGACGGATTGCACAGTATTCCAGTGAGGATCAACTCAGCCTGCACTCAACGACATTCATCATGAGAACAAAATACTCAAATAACAACCGAACCGGCGTGCAAATTAGAACATCTTGGGGATGACGGATGCATGGTAATCAACGAAATTTAGGAAACGTTGCAATGAGTACAATTTGTGGAGATAGTTCATATAAATATATAAATAAGAATCAAGCAGAGAAATATCATAATGCTTAGATAAAATCGGTCGCAAATAGTAACAAACTGGTGCAAATTGAAATTAATAAGCTCAACAACAACTCCGACAATGGCAAGTGTTTCCTTCTTCCTTAGTTTTGGTTTTTGGAAGACTGAAATTTCTTTAACATATAACATCCGACGGTTTAACTATCGTTCCCAAGTGGCTCGCGAGTCCAAAAGACCGATTTTCCCAACATTCAGCAATAGAAACCATTAGAGGAGCTTAAAACAAAAGGTATTTTCATAGTTAAGGCCAGATCTCTCTTAATTGTAAAGAAATTTGACCTTAATAGCTCAAATTTTTTAATTCGATTTTAAACATGGTCTTAAAAACGTATAGCAAAGCCGGTTTTGTTAAGAAACTTCCGAAGTCTTTGCTTAAAAAGCTTTGCTTACTCTAGAAGCCGAAAAGATGAAACGAGATGATCGAAAACTCCACAACCTTGAGACAAACTGAGGAACTTCCTCATTGTATTCGATAGTTAATCCGACGTTCCATGTTTGCAAATAATCTCCACAAGACGGTAATATACGAGAAACGGATTCTCTACTTATACATTGCACACCTAAGCAGAAGAACGTCAACCTAAGCTTTCCTAAATATGGTTAGGCCCAAATTGAGCCGATCTAGCAGTCAAGCAAATAAGAGAAAAATAATTCTTGAATGAAAGTTTAAAAGAGCAAAAAAGTCATGAAGACATAGAATACATCCTCTCTTGGTACAGTTTTCCTGCTCTAAGAGATGTTTTGTAGTCCAAGTGAATATGCAGACAGGATTGAGTTGTAATCAATACTATTCCGCCTTTACTTGAGATGACGATGCTTGAAGGTGATCACTTAAAATATTTGAAAGTAAAAAATAGGAAATGCCGTGGCTTCCGAGCATAAATATTGAGAGAATATGTTATGCTTGTGAACATCAGGCTGCTTTATGAATGCTTTTGAAAACTAACTGCACCAAATTTTATTATATTCAACGATGTTAAGCGAATAACAAGAAATTTTGCCTGCCTAGCTGCAATGGTTCTTCATAACCGCACCTCATTGTCTTTCAAGAGATCAAAAACAACCTTTTGGTGAGTCTAACGAGGAGAGCCCCTTGGACAGCTTTGCGGTGCAAAAAGCAGCAATTAAGGCCAGTATTATTCCCTTGCATTCAGCTTGTTACAGGCCCATGCTCTTGTATTATTAAGCTAACATGATGCTGATAAGAAACATTATTGGGCAAACGTTTCGACGTCTCCGTCTTCCTCAGGGCCGATGGTCTGAGTCGACAGTCATTAGTCATCTTCTCGATGTGATAGCATCTTTGTCTTCCAATGTGTACTCATCTTTCGGAGCATCTAAAAGAGTTGGAAAGCCAAAGAATGCTTCAAAAAAATCGCCATTTTAAACCATCGTCAGCGGTTCCTCTATGCAACTAGAACAACCAGTTTATCGATAGTACTGTGGCAACGTATTACCAGAAATGGATCCTCTTTGACAGCTTGTAAAAACTGGCTTAGTAGTTGGACTGCGATAAACCTATTTAGCAATTCTCACCGAAATTGCATCAAAAAGGTCATGCTGACCGTATTTTAGTCTACAGTTGGCTTAATCCCTGGTCCATCATAGCTTCATAAATCGTGATGAAACGATTATGGCGGTGAGCTCGCTGCTCAACAAAATCAGACAAATCCTTCTGATCCAAAACGCCCGGCCACACGTCGCACTACGGAGAATAGTTGAGCGAACTGGGCGCTAAAATTCTGCCTCGTCCACCACACTAGCCAAACGTTTTGCCTACCGAATGCCACAACTCTCAAAAAGAACTTTCTGACTACCCGGCAAATATTTTCTATAATTCTGAGTACTTAATAAAGAAAATCTTTCTGGCGACGCGACGCAACAGAGAAGACTGTTCTGGCAGCACCATAACTGTGATCTAAATGGTATAACAATGGTGCATGATGGTCTCCAAAGAAATAACCGGAATTGACTCAGCCAACTCATTTCCATTGGAGGTCCCAAAGACATAACCAGGAGTGGCTCCAATGGTATAACCAGAATTAACTAAGACAACTCCGCCCCTTCCCATTGGGGACCTCAATGGCACAACCAATATTGGTTAGGTCGGATAAAATGTTAGCCTATGTCATCTTCTCCACTTTTTTACCATATAGGAGCAGCCTCCCAAATCAATCCGCTGGAACGCCTTTGTCACTTTGCCCAATTTTCAAACCCCTTAGTTAAGTCTTTGCAATATTATTACTTCAGCTTCACAGGAGTTGCTGTGTCATCTTGCTTGAATAGTAGGTGTATCGAACTCATCTTCCCTCACCATGCGGGTCCTCCGTTTCGCCTGTCTCTCAGCTATTTCTGTCGATCTTTTTGCCACAGCAATCACCCGTCAGCGGGGTTGATCTGGGGAGCGCAAATTGGCATAGAACCCAGTATCTCAGCAACGTTGTGGTTGTATTTCTTTTACTAATATTGTTTTTATTTGGTTTATCTTATACCACCCGTGATCGACCACATTTCGTACGGATCCCAGTGATTCTCTTATTTGACTGGGTTCGTCGTAACCACAATCCACAAAAGTCTTCGGACTCTGCGTGTAAGCTTGGCTGCTGCTTGGGGATTTTCCTCTTCCCATGAATGTCATTGAATGCCGATCGTGCCGATTCTTTCTGGAATCCTGGGACTGCCGTGTTAGGGCGTTCCTATGTCTTCATCGCAGACATTGCACAGCTCTTGTGGATAGCAAAGAAGCAACTGCGCCACTCTTCTCTATTATTATTAACATTATTGCAGTTGTTACTGACTGAATGACATTGGTACCACTCTTGTTATCTTTAATGAACTCCATTACTACTCTTTGAACCTTTCGATATTTCGTCAGCCCGTCTAGGGAAGTCATATGATCCCAAACTCATTTTTTTTACTCATGTTTTCTTCTGTGATTGTTTTGCGACATGCATTCTAGTGGATCATAAAGATCAATCTTGCTTATTCCTGCTCTATCTGGGAAGGCATTGCTACAGCAATCTGTGGACGATTCGCAAAATTCTTGACATGGTTTAAATATCAAACCGCGTGTGTTCTGCATAGCAAGTTAAACAGAGGGAGCGAAGTTTTGGGGGAGTTTTGCGCTCGTTACTTGATCCGTTTCCCATTTCGAGATAGGAACGCCATCCGTGATAACGTCTCTTTTCTTCAAAGCAAAATCCTCGTGTTTTTTTCCATATTTGTCAAAACGCTCAGTTGAACATGGGATGTGATTTTTTTAGGGAATAATTCGTCAAAGGACCACTTCGATTTCATCTAGGCTGCAATAGAAGTCATCTTTTTTTCCTGAATTAGGCTCCCTTCTAGTTGATTGCATTTTTTCTCATTTCGTTCAACAGTTTTTTGTATATTCGCTGGCATTCCTCAAAGCGATGATGACGTCGTGAACGCATTACTCCCCGGAAAGGACAATAGCGCGTTCGTTCTCCACAATAGACACCTGCGGTCCAGAGTTTTGCAAATATCTCAGCAACGTTGTGGTTGTATTTCGCTTAGTACCCTGCCGTGAAATTCATAGTAGACAGAAAATAAAAGGTAAAACATAATAATAACAATGTTAAGAATAATGGTGTCACAAGATTTTTCCAATGTAGGAGAAAGCAAATACGATTTTTTAACAAGAACCTGACAGAAGATATGTTTGAGCACATTGTCGTTTTTTTTGTCGAATTAGTCAACTGGTGACAATAGAATTTACCTTCAACACTCTAAGGTTTTCGGTAAGCTGATATTTGATGCTCAAAGTATAGGCAATTCTTCGCCGGCAAACTCCTCGATTGATGGCACGTAGTTTCGAAAAATCTCTACGAAACAGATAAATATAGAGAATCACGTAAACGATATGGATGATGAATGTTACCAAAACAATGGTATTAATACGATAGAAACCTGAAATAAGATGATTTTAGTCATTTGTATGAGTTTTTAACAAAATTCTACGCTGGAACTTACCCAATACAATGGTTGTGGCGAAAAATATTGATAACGTTATCGTGAATACCAAAATCGTGGTAGAAATCCATGATCGAGAAACTTTCTCATAGTCTACAATGTATCTGGAGGCAAACAAACGCTCTGCTACGACACAAGGTAGAAATAAGCCAAGAAAATTCGTAAAAGACAATCGGACAGTGGCGGCCGCAACAAGAAGCCCAGCATAAACGGGATTTCCTGAAATAATACCGTTGATGAAAGCATGCTAGGAAATGACAATGAAAACGCATATCAATGCCCAAGTGGGGTTTGGTCACAGACAGCTCTGCTAGCCTCAAAACTTAATAGCGCGCTTTTAATAAGTGCTCCATAGCCGGCTGCCTAGCAGCAACCGATAGGATACCAGTCACCTCAAGAGCGTCAACTAATCAGCATTATGGTTGCAAATAAGGGTATAAATAAAGCCAATTCTTCTCTTTAAAGCAAAAAATTATTTACTTTCGCTATCGAGAGCATTCGAATACATCTGTCTTCAAGAACAAAGGGCAGTGATAATGGCTACGAAGTCATTGCTTACGTTAGCTACTACGATGAAAATAATAAATGATATTCACCATAAAAAATATTAGAACAGTAAAAGTTGTATGCTATGCGCGACCAAAGCATCACTTGTTTGCGATTGTTGTTATTCCTTTTTAGACTTCTATTAACATTAATGAGGGTACCGCTATATCAATTAGAGAGAAAAAATAAATAAAAACACCGGATTTTCGAAACTTGGCCCACCTCGCCTCCAAACATTCGCAACTTCACAGTTTCTAGCAACCATTGCTTATCTTTAACTACCAAACTGTATTGTTTATTTTATCCGTAAAGTCATTCTTCACACGATATTTTATTGGTGCACAGTGGTTAAAGGTGTTGTTTGGAGCTCTACAGCGATGTAAGCAACATTCTGTTTGTCAGAGTCATCTAAGCAGAAAGTAGGTTTGCTATTCCCATTCAAATTGTCATTGCCTTGAATATAACTCATTCCTATCGTCGCAATGTTCTTTTTGATTCACGAGTAGCAACAACAACCTGCGAATTTTAATGGTTTCCATATTTTGGAAGTGAACGCTGGGCATGGGAATAAAAAATGGCGTCAACTCTTACTTTATGGACATGAGCGTATGTCGCATAGAACAAAACAAACCTTTAATATCCAACATATTGGCTTGAAAGAGAATGATTACGATGCGAGAGAAGAAACCCGCGTAGAAAAACAAGAAATAAGCCTGCAAATAGTGTCAAATCATATTACAAAAACAAAATTGAACAGTTGAGTTGCTTAATACTCCGTTTTGAAAACGTCTAGAGTAATAAACTGGTCCCAAGCGGTTTGTGTTTTTGGGTGTATGTTTATACGCCATGGGTTTATTCCTTCGCACGGTTATCTAAACTCAGACAGGCATCGGTCTCTCTATCCGAAAGCGAATTTAAGAGCAAAGTTCAGGTAGAGATGAGCAAAGTCTTACAATAAACCGAAGAGCAGAGTTACAAACTATTCCTCGATTCATAAACGTCGGCAACTATTAGATTTGCGCAAAAGTTAGGTTGGATTTTCAATGGGAAGTTTGAAATGTTACAACTTGGCTCATTGGCAACACTATTAATCTCGGTAGCAAAATTTGAGTTTATTCACTGTAGTCACTTTTTATTTACTGCCTATATTTTTTCCATGGCAGAGTATGATGTGAAATATAACTGCAATGATGCTGAGAAATTTGCAAAATTCCAGACTGCAGGTGCTTGCGGTAGAGATCGAACCCGCTATATTGCACTTTCTAGGGACTAACATGGTCACCATCACGCCATGTGCGGATCCTTTCCCATCTTTCTCTCAGCTGTGTTTTAACCTATACGTGCTATCAAAAATCACTCGCGACGGCTTGAACTTAACTGGGTTCAATGTCTATTTGAACTGCCCAGATCAACACCGTTGACGGGCGATTGATGATAACACCTATAGGTTAAAACACAGCTGAGAGAAAAGCAAGAGGAGGAACGGCATGGTTTGATGGAGAACACGCTAGCCTCGCAAAGTATGATAGCGGATTTGATCTCCACCGTGCACACCAGCGGTGGGGAGCTCTGCAAATATCTCAACGTAATTGTGATTTTATTTGTCATGTTAATGCAGAAAAGTCCAGAAATCGACGAATCTTTTGAAAGAAATTTGAGAAACATCTGGTTACTGAAGATACTCCTTGAATGTAATTTTGAAGATGCTGAAGGTGGGGTAAACGGTTGGCGAGGGATGTGCCGAATATCGTCGTTGAGACAGAACTTTGCAGTCCGATTCAATATCTGCGGTGCTGATTGTGAAAAATGAGGTCCGCACTTCTCACCAATTATAAAAACAATTTTTTTCCTTGACGAATGCTGTACAGATATGACAATTTTTGATGCACTTTGTCCATCCAATGACTGGAATAAGTGTCACATGAGAAGTAGTCAAACAAAAACTAAGGTTTGAGATAGCGCTCAGCAGCTATGTAAGCAATACGCTCTTATTACTGAACGCATTTCCGAAATTCAGAACGATAAAGTGCTCCATTAATTTTGCACCAATCAAATTTCCGAGATAAGTACGCAGAAAGACTAGCACATCTATCACAAGAACTTAGCAAAATAAACACCTTCCGAACTAGTGAAGTGACAGCCAAGTGGAAATCGGACTGGCACCATTTGTGAAACCGGTGATTTAGGTATAAAAGGATCAAATTCAATAACCTTGTACTAATAAGGAATTATTCTTTGAGCTCTTTCTGACTTCTGGCTTAACTTCAAAAAAGCCAACATAGTACCATTCTTCTAAGTGAATAACGGGTGTATCTCGTGATACACGGTACAGTGTGAGATTTCCTGTCATGTACCTCTTATTATTCTTTTTGCACAACCCGACATCAAATGTATCATACTGCGCGCATCCCATCACTTCACATTCGATTCGCTTCCTCGCATACACTTATCACAAATGTCTTCGGATGTGAATGTGGATTCGACTGCTCGTTGAGAATTATTCGTCTTCTTCACGAATTTCGATGAATGTTGCTCGACTTGATAGTTCCTGGAATCCTGCGATAGAAGTACTAAAGCGTTTCCGCATAGATTATAGAGGGTGACACTGCTCTTACATAAGGACGAAAAACAAAAGGTAGCGACTAAATGAATGTTTTTGGATCGTTTATGTAAATCATGTCCTCACAGCATTCACGTGATGGAGGTCTTTGACGTTACTGCCCCTTATGTTAACGTGTACAACGACTACGCAATGCAGGCCATAATCGAACTACTTTTGCAACACAAAGGAGCATTAAACATGTATGACTTCAAGATCCAGCAGTCGATGACCCTTTTAAAAAGTGCCTAAACTGCTCAGTCTTCAGATGATCTGAAAAATATTACGCACAGAGTAGAGGGTTGGCTATGGGACAGCGACTATCACCAACCCTTGCCGTTGCGTTCATGTCTAAAGTTGAAACTCTCCACTGTAAGTACATCGGCGACAGTTTTGTCAACTGCTGAGCCATGGAGCGCATGGACAAGTGCTTTCAACTGCCAAACCAACAGTCACAGTACCTCATTTCACCTGAGAGGATCTGAAGAAAGGCATTCTTCCGTTTCTGAACGTTCACACCAATCCGTCCGAATGCGGCTACATCACCAAACGGTACCGAATGCCAATTAACAAAAACACTGGTTCATGATCTCTCCTCTCACCCTTCATAGACCAACAAGGCAGTTGTGAGGTTTCCTACAGCCGCTAGTAGGTGCGCAGGAATAGAGCAAAAGGAAGAATCTCTGGACTTGGATCGAAAAATAGCTATTTCCAACAACTACGAAACGATAGATATTCAGGAAAACTTCAAAGGGAAAAGCGCGCACCAAAACGATAAGCCTCGTGAATATAGGGTCCCGTCGGGCCTGACCCTTATTTCAAAAGAAATAAACACAGCCAAAAAACGTCAAAAATAGTCGGTTTAGAAACGTCGGTAGTGGTGATTGGAATACTATCGAGCACTCTAAGACGCCAGCTAATTCGTAACCTTTTGCATAACCGTCCGTGCGGAACGCACAATTTGCTCTAACGGAAGAGACAGTGACTGCATAAGCTCAGCTACGGTGTTCCTTATCTCTTGTAAAGCATGTGAGGACGAATATGTTGGCGAAACGGGTAGCTAGACAGAATGCGTAGAGGTGAAGAAAATACTTCACTAGGAGCGCATAGGACCTGTAGAAATAACGAAGATTTCGAAATAGAAATTTGAATCGTTGCACAGGAATTGAAACTTCAGCTTGAGAAAGACTTGACGCGTTTTGGACAAACCCTAAAAATCCAAAAATGAGCACAACAAATGCCGGGACAGTCCTGCACATAACATCACGGCTCTGAGGAAGGCGAAGTCGCCGAAACGTCAGCCATCGTTCAATAACATCAAAAACAACGACAACGACAACGACAACGACAACGAAGATCTGTACCAACCTCGCGTCAGCTTAAGAAGATCAGTTTATAAGATCACATAAATAAATATATCAACTATCTATGCCGAGGTTCATAGAAAGTCGGTCTTTCGAGGAACGGTAAGTGTTTAAGAAAAGTGGTTCAGTATGTGACTAATCATTTATGTATTGCTTTGTCTGCTGAGGTTGTGATAGTGTGTGTGGATTGCTCTCAATTTGACTTTTTCAACCACATGGTGTACTTCTATTTCAATAAACAAAATACTTAACCGTAATCACACACTAAGAGACATTCACGGTCGACCAGCCATAAGCGCCTCGGAGGAAAGGAGACACAATCCTCTGTGCTTATTTTTCGCCAGCAGTAAAACTAACCTATAGAGCAAATTACTCCAGCTCCTTTTTCGCAGAAAATTCACATGCAAATATAATTTTAAGAAAGAATAATAAAGTAGAAGATTTTGCCGAAAGCACTCCACTCACCTGTGTGATTCGGATTAGATTCTTATGATAGAGTGGCGTTTTTTCAAGAGCCCGTACAAGCTTTGGAACAGTGCAGAACGCAAATAAAAGAGCGCAAAACTCAACGACGTACAGGATCCAGAAAATTGCGTTCGACGAGAGCATTTCTGGTGTCGGCTTTATGATAAGCACGAAAAAGTTGTATTCTTCAATGTTCACCAAAAGCATCGTTCTTGTCTCACCGGAGATGCGCTCTAAACCTAAACAGATGTATGAAAGAATAGGAAGCGAACCTACAACACCACACTTGCTCGTTTAGTAAAGTAGAAACGCAAATTTCTAAAGACATTGATCAGAAGAAAAGTGCAAAGAAGAAACAACTCTATGGAGTGAGCAAATATACCCAGAAGCTCTTTTCCATGAAAAAAGGAAACATAACTCTCCATTTTCTTGATTAGAACACAAGAGGCCGTTCTTAGAATTTTTGCTGGAGAGAAGACAGTTTTTACTGAGTAAGTTCGAATGTCATTACAAAAGAAGGTAATTTTTACTGAGAGCGCTAAAATGAACCCTCGTTTAAGAAGTTGAACTCAGTGGACTTGCTACGACCCTCTCACTAAACATTCCGTATTAGCGCCTTTGCTATTCCATCACCGATTCTTCCACCTTAGACATAAATGCAATGGCAAGGCTTGGAGCTAAGTCGTTGTCCCATTGCCAACCCTCTTATTTGAGCGTAGTACTTTCCAGACCATCTTACTTTTTTTTCTGTCGCTCTCTTTTACTTATTTGCTTTTCCTTTGTATCGTTCACAACCATATTGAGGTGACTGAAGTTTTACGGACCACTACCACCTGAGAAGCTCCCGCCTAAATGCTGTAGCAAATCCTGCGATAATCATTTTTAAGCAATCTACAATTGAATAAAACCAGTGACCAAGGAAGTGAACTTCGATAGACTCCTCATCAAGAATGATCAGGAATATCTTAATATTGAGGACGCTGATTACACCGAGGTTGTGGAAATTTTTGCAATGCTGTTTTCTGAGCATCCAAGAAATGAAACACACGATGAGGTTGAAGTTGTTGATAACGGAATTAGCGGTGAGTAGTCAGATTACGTTATGTTTCATGACGGCCTCCTGCTTTTCGAGAACGAAGAACGTGCACAACAAGAATCCAGGACTCAATGTCTGCTGGTATATGTTCCAAGCAGATAAACCCGTTTTAGCTAAAGCTTGATATTGTACTAAACATGTAAAAATCAAGAGGAAAATGGTGTAGCTTCCCGCCATCGACTTCCACTCCTCTGCTATCCATTTAAGCCGTCAGATGTAATTTCTAACTTTTTGTGTAATAACATGAATATCCGTGTGCTGAAAGAATTAATGAGTTTGCCACAGCAGAGACGGAGTGCTTCATCTGGTTCTCCCACGTTTCAAAGAAATTACAAGGTGGTGAGACCGCCGTTCTTTCATACACGGCAATCACTACCATCGTAAGGAGCAACAGTAACAATGAGCAGTTACAGCATTATAGTAGAAGTAATAATAACAAAAAGTAAACGAGTAAGTATTAATTGCAAATGTTGCTGGGACATAGTAATACTAGTCACAATTACAGTTATTATTGTTGCAACAATAATGTTAATGGTGGTCAAAGAAAGTACTATTATTGTATAAAAACTCTACTCGGCTTCAGTGGCATGTGAACCATGAAAATACAGCTCTTCCAGTTGCTGTGAAAAAAGGAACGACAGGATAAAACTAGTGTTAAACCTCTTCATCGACGCACCAAAGTAAATAATGAAGTGGTTCGACTGACATGAAAAGAGCATGCACTTTTCGGTATATATCTATAAAACAACTCCATTATTCACGACGTCATCATCGCTTTGAGGAATGCCAGTGAAGGTACAAAAAACTGTTGAACGAAGTGAGAAAAAATGCAATCAACTAGAAGGGAGCCCAATTCAGGAAAAAAAGATGACTTCTATTGCAGCCTAGATGAAATCGAAGTGGTCCTTTGACGAATTATTCCCTAAAAATATCACATCCCGTGTTCAACTGAGCGTTTTGACAAATATGGAAAAAACACGAGGATTTTGCTTTGAAGAAAAGAGACGTTATCACAGATGGCGTTCCTATCTCGAAATGGGAAACGGATCAAGTAACGAGCGCAAAACTCCCCCAAAACTTCGCTCCCTCTGTTTAACTTGCTATGCAGAACACACGCGGTATGATATTTAAACTATGTCAAGAATTTTGCGAATCGTCCACAGATTGCTGTAGCAATGCCTTCCCAGATAGAGCAAGAATAAGCAAGATTGATCTTTATGATCCACTAGAATGCATGTCGCAAAACAATCACAAAAGAAAACATGAGTAAAAAAAATGAGTTTGGGATCATATGACTTCCCTAGACGGGCTGACGAAATATCGAAAGGTTCAAAGAGTAGTAATGAAGTTCATTAAAGATAACAAGAGTGGTACCAATGTCATTCAGTCAGTAACAACTGCAATAATGTTAATAATAATAGAGAAGAGTGGCGCAGTTGCTTCTTTGCTATCCACAAGAGCTGTGCAATGTCTGCGATGAAGACATAGGAACGCCCTAACACGGCAGTCCCAGGATTCCAGAAAAAATCGGCTCGACCGGCATTCAATGACATTCATGACAAGAGGAAAATCCCCAAGCAGGAGCTGAGCCTACACGCAGAGTTCGAAGACTTTTGTGGATTGTGGTTACGACGAACCCAGTCAAATAAGAGAATCATTGGGATCCGTACGAAATGTGATCGAT